TCACGGCAATTCCCATTTCGCGGCAACTAGTGGCTTCTTAATTGACTTGCAAAAGTAACTTTTCTCGGCAACGGCAACGGCAACGGCAAAAAAACGCGGCAACAAAAACGGCAACGGCGACGGCAACGGCAACTTTGGAAGTAGACTGCGAAACTACGGCACTGGAGCTAATTCCGCAGTAGTTTGGCAGTAGTTTGGAACTAACTACTGCGAAACTACTGCGCTGGAGATAATTTCGCAGTAGTTTGGAAGTAATTACTGCGAAACTACTGCGCCTTGGCAAACAGCCACGGCAGCAGCCACGGCAATTTCCCCGTTAAAAAATTAACTTTTCGCGGCAACGGCAACGGCAACGGTAAAAAAAGACTGCCCACGGTAAACCTTAACTTTCATGGTAAAAACTGTCTTGCCCCCGCTAATTGTCTTGACGGATTCACAGGGCAATTGGGGCAGGCGGTCGGGCAGGCTGTCTGTCGGGCAAGCCCTTGCTGTTATGCGGTGCTTGGTGGGACAAGCCATGCGCAGCGCTTCGCCCTTGCGCGCGGGGTTGGCGTCGGGCGGGCGGTCGGGCGGGCAAAAGCCCCAATTGGGCGGGTGCTCGGGGTTGGGCGGGCCAGGGCCCTTGGCTGTTGGGCGGGGCGCTTGGCGCCGAGCGGGCCAGGACCTGACGTTGGGCGCCGTCGGGAGATGTCGGGAGTCGGGCGGTGTTTTTCAATGGCCTTGCCGGTGGTTTGGAAGTGTTTTTCCTTGGTTGGGAGTAGTTTTTCAGTGGTTGTCGACGGTCGTCGCGCAGGGCGTCGGGCAAGGCGTCGGGCACGCCGTCGGACGCACTGTCCGGCGTAATTGGCTGTTATAGGCAGCGTTGGGCGAGTCAGGGCGCCTTGCTGTTGGGCGAGGTGCTTGGCGTCGGGGGCCTTGGCTGTCGATCGGGCGAGGTGCTGAGCGTCGGGCGCCCGCGCCCTTGGCTGTTGGGCGGGGTGCTTGGAGTGGTTTGATTTTTTTCCGTGGTTTGGAGTGCGGGGGTGTTTTTCCGTGGTTTGGCGTGGGATTGGTTTCTGGAATCGCGGCTTTTCCAGTTGTTTTTTTTTGGCGTGGCTTGGCGTCTAGCTTGTCAAGGCATGGTTTTCAGTGGTCGTTGGCCGGGCCGTCGGGCACAGTGGGGCGAGCTCCCTGGCTGTTGGAAGCCATGGCTCTTGGCTGGCCGGAGGCTTGACGTCGGGCGTGCCATCGGGCAGGCAATTAATTTGTGCGGAGTTGCTGGGGTCGTTCGAGTACTTGCCGCGGACGATTTGCCAGGAGTAGGGCCGTTTGATTGGCCATGCTGCCCCGTGGCCGCGCACGGTGACGACAAACGTGACGATCTTGCTGCGCGCCCTCCGGGCGGACACCGCGACGCTAACGTCGAGGATGTTTCGCGGCTATTCCAGAGCTGTTTCGAGGACGTCGGACAAATTAATTTATGTTTCGAGGACGAATCGAGGATGTTTCGAGGAAGTTTTTTCCGCGCCCGACGGTTTGACCGATCCCCGCGCCCGACACCACGCGCGTCGAGGCTGTTTCGGCAATGTTTCCGAGGACGTTTCGAGGACGTTTCGGCGATGTTTTTCGAGGACGTTTTCGAGGATGCCCCGACCGGAACGCGCCCGACGCCGCGCCCGACGCCACGCCCGACGCCGCGCCCGACGCCGCGCCCGACGCCGCGCCCGATGCCACGCCCGACGCACGCCGATGCACCCGGACGCCGAGCCATGCCCGGCAACTGCGCGCGGGCGCGGCCAACATGGCTCTCAGCCCCGCGCAAGGTGTCGAGGATCCCAAGCTTGTGGGCGGTGTCGCGAATTGCCGCTGGCAGCTGACGGTTCCGTGGGCAGAGCCCATATGTTAGGCTGTGGGCTCAGGGGCGAGGGGTCCGTGGGTTGGGAGGGTTGGGCGCAGCGTTGAGCGGGTCTTGGGCGTCGGGCGCGTCGGGCAGGGGGCCTTTGGGCGTCGGGCGCGGCGTCTGGGGTTGGGGCATGGGTCGGTCGGGCGCAGCGTCGGGCGGGGCATCTTGAAGTCTTTGGGCGTCGGGCGTGGGGTCATGCGTTCGGGCGCACGGCGTCTGGGGTTGGGCATGGGTCGGTCGGGCGGGGCATCTTTGGGCGTCGGGCGCGGCGACGGGCGTGGGGCGCAGCGTCGGGCAGGAGGTCTTGGGTGTTGGGCGCGAGGGGTCATGGGCGTCGGGCGGAGCGTCGAGCAGGCGGTGTCGGGCGCGGCGTCGGGGTCTTAGCGTTGGGCGCGGCGTCGGGCGGGTCGGGCGCGGCGTCGGGCGAGGAGGCGTCGGGCACGGTTTCGGGATTGTTTCGGGCGGGGGGGGTTCGTGCGTCGGGCGCAGCGTCGGGCGCAGCGTCGGGCGCAGCGTCGGGCGGGGGTCCTGGGCGTTGGGTGCGGCGTCGAGGGGTTGCGCGTCAGGTTACGCGTCGGGCACAGCGTCGGGCGGGGGGTCTGTGGGCGCAGCGTCGGGCGTCGGGCGGGGGGTCTTAGGGGAGTCATGTCATTGTCTGGCGCAGCGTCGGGCGGGGAGGCGCAGGCGTGGGGTCGGGCGGGGGCGTCTTAGGCGTCGGGCGCGCTGGCGAGCGGGGAATCATTCGTCGGGCGCATTGTCGGGCAGGGGTTTTGCAAGCGCAGCGTCGGGCGCGGGGTCTTGCGCAGCGTCGGGCAAGGGATCATGCGTCGGGTGCAGCGTCGGGCGCAGGGGCGTTGGGCGCAGCGCGGGCGCAGCGTCGGGCGGGAGGTCTTGGGCATCGGGCTTGAGCGTCGGGTGTCGGGCGGGCGCTTCCGTTGAGGGCGGCGTCGGGCGCAGCGTCGGGCGGGGGTCCTGGGCGTTGGGTGCGGCGTCGGGGGGTTACGCATCGGGTTACGGGCACAGCGTCGGGCAGGGGGTCTGTGGGCCCGGAGTCGGGCGCAGCGTCGGGCGTCGGGCGGGGGGTCTCGCAGAGTCATGCGTCATCGTCGGGCGCAGCGTTGGGCGGGGAGGCGCAGGCGTGGGGTCATGCGTCGGGGGGAGCGTCGGGCGGGGGCGTCTTGGGCGTCGGGCGCGCTGGCGGGCGGGGGTTCATGGGTCGGGCGCATCGTCGGGCAGGGGTTTTGGGCATCGGGCGCAGCGTCGGGCGCGGGGTCTTGGGCGCCGGGCGCAGCGTCGGGCAAGGGATCATGCGTCGGGCGCAGCGTCGGGCGCAGCGTCGGGCAAGGGATCACGCGTTGGGCGGAGCGTCGGGCGCAGGATCTTGGGCGTCGGGCGCAGTGCGGGCGCAGCGTCGGGCGGGAGGTCTTGGGCATCGGGCTTGAGCGTCGGGTGTCGGGCGGGCGCTTCCGTTGAGGGCGGCGTCGGGCTAAGCGTCGGGCGCAGGGCCCGGCGTGCCCGACACCAAGCGCCCCGCCCAACAGCCGGGGCTTGCCCGGCGGCCCACAGGAAAACAGTTCCAACGCTCCAAGCCATGCCAAGCAACTCCAAACGTGCGAAAGACCCGCTAATCCATTGAAATTAACACATTTGACACCACCCTGCCCGACTCCAAACCAATTTACCTCCAAGCCACTCCCAGCCAGTAAAAAACACCCCTTGCCAAACAATTGAGAAACACTCCAGACTCCAAACCGCTGAAAAACAAACTCCAAAGCACTCCTGAAAAAACCTAAAGCCGCGAAACTCCAAAACCACCCCAAACCACTTGCCTTGCCCGCCCAAAACCAAGGCCCGCCTGACCCCAAGCACCCCGCCTACGGGGAAGCCTGCAGCTGTTGGGCGGGGTTCTTGGGGTCGTGTGGTGCTTGGCGTTGGGCGGGCCACGCCCCAGCAGGCGGGCCGTCGGGCAAGTCCCCGGGCCATCGGGCTTGCCCACATGTCAAAGAAACCTTCCCGGGAAGCCAAGTTTCAAAGGAGCCGCCCACTGATTGGAAAACGCAGGTAATCTTTTCAAGCAAACAGAAACGTGCTGCGCACGAGACATTCAAGCTTTGGTCTTCCAAAGCCAACCCTGCAAGTTAACATCTCAGGAGCAAGCCAACACCCTGGCCATTTGTGTTCCACGCGTCACCTTACGGGAAGGCGCTTCCGAACCTCATCCCGCATGTTTGCGAGGATGTTTTTAATCATCCCCGACGTTTTCCGTGATCAGTCTAATCATCTCCGACGTTGGCGGGGATGTTTTTAAACAGCCCCCATGTTTCGGAGGATATTTTGAATCATCCCCCATGTTTGTCGGGATGCTTCTGATCATCCCCCATCTTGGCCCGGATGCTTAGCAGCAACCCCAACGAATGGAAAGACGATGCCGGATGTCCCGGACGGATTTCTGGTAGGGCGGGACGTTTGCAGGACGACGCTAAGATGGGGTGATGTTTTGCGAGACGATTTGGGGCGACGCCTGCGGGGATGTTTGTAGCAGGCCCCCACTCTCACGTGTTAAATAGGACAGTGGAGTTCTCAATCGTAGCTTCCTTCGAAGTTTCATTGTTTCTTCTATTAGCTGTTTGCAAAGTCCCTAGTTTTGACACCTTTGATTTGTAAATTGGACCTGCAGAAGGGTCCGGCTCTATAGCCGGAGTGCCTTCGATAACTTGTGATAGGCGCAACAAGTTTCTCAATGGAGAACTTGGCGCCTTGCGTGTGGTCGTGCCATGATCTTCCCGTTGGGCAAGGCCACAACGTGTTCAAGCATCAATCTGGCAGTTTTTAAGCGCTGGAAGCTTCGCTCGTTCAATGCTTGTATTGCAAGGATGACATTGTCACATGTGTGATTTGCATCAGCTTTGTGTGCGTGTGATGCTCATGATGATCGGGCAAGCAGAACAGCCATCTGCACTAGCTACTTCCAAAGCCTTTTGCGCTAGCTCCTAAAGCCAATGCACCTGGCTTTGGATGAGGTCATACCCGGGCTCTATATATGCAGCGTGCAAAACAAGCATGGGGCTTCAAAGTCTCTCCAAAGCGCCCGACTTGACTTTGGTGTGCGGCGGCCGAGGCAGATGGTCAGACTGCACTTTTGGGAGCTGCAAAGCATGGCTGTTCTCCACAGGCAGGATTTTGTTCTGGGGGCAGACTTGCGCCAGGAGTCCAGCAACATCCTTGATGTTTGCGAGGGCACTTTCAGCCCACAACTTCTTCACAAACGGGACATGCACAAACTCAACCCCTGCATCACGAGAATGGAAAGCAGTCAATGCCTGAGATACAAGCAGGACATTGTACAGCGAAAATGTGGTTGGAGGATGATTTCTCTTGGCCGTTTCGGCTATTTGTCAAATCCTTCACGCAGATAACAGGCCACCAGAGATCTCATGAGCAGGTCATCACGCTCCTGCTGGAAGCTCGAGCCTGTGCGGAACCCAAAGCAGTGCGGCCATAGGTGTCCTTTTTGCTTGATTTGGCTTAAAAATAGATGACCCTGGTTTACCTGGTGGTTTCATCATCTACCAGGGCCATCTATTTGCCTAAAAAGGACGGCACTATGACTTTTTCGGTGGACCCTAGACTTTAAACCCCAATTGTCCTGAAGGTTTCGGCCCAGAAGTGGAACGTAAGCGCCCCCGAAGCGCGTGGGTTGAGTCTTTTTTTTGTTGGGGGAGAGGGCAGCCATTCTGGCTTTGGGGAAGTAGACATGAGCTTGATACTGATTGGCAGGTTTGCAAAAGGCACTTGGAAGTTGGATCTTGACGAGCTTCCCACGGTAGTTTGTTTCGGCCACAAGCGAAGAGGCCCTTTTTCAAGACGCACTCGTTTGGCTGGGAACTGAGGATAAGAAACTCAGGATTCGAATATTGCATGTGCCCT